TGTTTGGCGGGTCCGGGCTGGGGATTCGAACCCGCCACCTTAGGTGTACATGGCTGGCGCCTTAGCCGGTTGAGCTATAGGCGCCGAGCCAGCAGGGTCAACTTTTGTGGGATTTCATAAGTGATTGTAGCTTCAGCTTTAGAGACTCCCTTGCATTCTGAATTCGAGCCTTAATCTTTGAGCATCGCCATGTTAATGGGCCTTTTGACCTTTTCTCTTCTTAGAGCAGCTATGTTGCCCTTTATGTTGTAATGTTAATTCCTAGACCAGTGCTGTCAGTGAAACTTGACTGCTTGACTACCTTCCCTGGTCTGATTTACTCCCCTGCTACCTTATATGTGATTTGCTCCTTCTGTATAGCCCAGTCTTTAATGTTTATCATACAGTTCTGACATGCTTATTTGGGTCTTATATGTTTTAAATGTTTCTGTTGTATAACTGACAGCAGTGAATTCCCTTTAGAGACTCCAAAGTGCAGATTGGCATAGGGCTCCCAGGGGCTTCCAGAGTTGGGATGGATCAGGAGGACCCTTCCCTGTCGCCCATTCCTCCATGGATAATCCGAGTCAGTGCAAATGGGAAACATCTAGCCAAATATAGTGAGAGTCAGGGTAGCCTCTGGAACACATTGGGGGAAATTTCTATGATGACTTGAGCATTGTATATGTTATTAGTAGAGCCCCTTTCTGTTTCTTTTCATCCTTAGAAGAGGTACTTTGATTTGACTCCAAAAAGTAGCATGTTTCTTGCCCCTTAGTCCTATTTCTGCCTATTCCTATGTATAACTTGCTCTTCATTGAACTAGTGAGATGAATGTAAAGGTTTTCAGCTCTGCTCACATATGACCATGAACTGGAAGTTTTTGAAGATACCAGGTCTCTTTGAAGTTTTCATTGAGTGTGTCTGGACAGGACCTGGACATGCACATGTATGACAAGCTCCTCAGGTAACTCTGCCTTGCCATTGGGTTGAGAATCCCGGAGATGCAGTGAGGGACTTCAGATTCTGTCCACGGTTCTCTTCTGTCCCATGGCCTCCACTGTACTTACTTTGAGGAGGCTTCCCTTCCGTTTTCCTGTGACAGATCCTTGATAAACTAAAATAATTTGTATTTAATTTATATTTGGACAAACACTGGCCATGTTCTCATAGTTCTTGGTTTGCCAAGAAGTTTAATAGAAACACTAAATAGATTGATGCTAACATGTGCAAACAGAACAAAAGGAGAAGGTCAGAGATCTAGAAAAAAAGCTATACATCTCAGCCTTTAGGATTTTTTCACTTGGCTCAGTGCCTGTGGTTCAAGTGGCTAAGGCGCCAGCCACGTACACCCAAGGTGGTGGGTTCAAATCC